AAAAACTAGCGAAAACAATAATCTAAACAAGAATAACAAGGCGGAAGCAACCCAAAATAAATATATACAGAAATCCCTCCCAGAACCTGGAAGTCACTAGTACAGAGCTATCTAATAAAGAGTACAAGTCCCAAAAGTGGACCATAACAGAGCGTGTCTCAAAGGCAACAAGACTAGCTAAAACAAAAGAAGGAGACAGAACAAACCCCAAAATGCCAAGTGCTCGCCCTCGTCTCCGAATCACAGTTGCAAAAGAAGGCTGGAACTAATCACCACTGGTAACTGGTACTGGGACCTGCATCACGAAATAGATGCAGAGCGTAGCATGAGTACCAACACAACAGGTACTCAGTAGGCATCATAGGCCGACTAAGCAAAAAAGGTAAAAACAATAAGAAAGAATAGAATCTAGACACAGAGAGGTCAAGCGGATAAGAAAAGAAAGCACACGCTTAAATAAAACCTGAACGAACCCCCATAAGCCCGACAGGTACACAGAAAAGCTAAGTCGAATGAGAAAGAAGAAAATCGGGCTCCTAGCCCAAAGTAACTAAGATAATCCATCAGACTCCACCCAGCCAGCAGTGCACTCCCAGCCCAGCTAGAAAGAGTGACCCTAGGGGGCACCCAACCAAACAGTCCACTCCCAGCCCAGCTAGAAAGAGGGACCCGTGAGTGAGGTAGATATCGCGAGTCGTCTTACCATGCAGTCAGCTCCCAACCCAGCTAGAAAGAGCGACCCGGGGACACCCAGCCAGCAGCACACTCCCAGCCCAGCTAGAAAGAGAGGCCCGGGGGCGATCGCCAATATCACCGAGTCTACCCAGCCAGCGATACGTTCCCAGCCCAGCTAGAAAGAACAACCCCGGGGGTGATGGTATCTCAAATAGGATTCAATCCAACAACAACCACCGTGGAACGCCGTCCACTCTAAGACATCACAAAAAAGGCTCAAAGCCTATACTATCTCAATCCCATACCTCGAGTGATGCACCAAACCTTCGAGAATGCGTCAGATGAGAAGGAGAAGATACAAAAGTGCAGCAAGTAGCAATAACGCCTAATCTAAGGCTCAAACTATCAGACTCAAGTCTGCTATTCCAGTCTACAAGGAGCTAAGTCATCCGAACGACGTCGGCAACAAGTCAAGGCTATCCAGCCCACACGGGTCATAAGTCTAAGGCAACGCTAGCCTAACCTAGACTAAGGACATCATGCTTACGGTTAAGGATGAACAAGGCATGCAATACAAAGCATACAATAACATTTAGCACATAAGCATGCAACTCTACTAAACCGGTTAACATGATACTATACCCGAAATGTGGCCAATCGATCCTAACATAAGGTATCTAATCAAAGTAAGGTAGTAAACTGGTACCCACCCCCAATTCACTCCAATCAACATGTTTTTACACAATTAAGCTCAATCTAAAAGAAAGGAAGCCGTAGCCTACCTTAAGGCCGATCGCGCGCTCTCCAATCACTTTACCAGAGCTTTTCCTTCCCGAACGACCTTTGAACGCTGTCACTCTATCAAATATAGGGTCACAACGTTAGTACAATCGTTTAGACACCAAAATCACAACAAATGGAGACGGGTCAATTTTGGAGTCAAAACGGGAATCGTGGGACCCACACCGAACTGTCCGAATTTGACTCCGTCAAGAGACCCTAAACAACACCCCAAACTTATGTCCCAAAATGGAACACAATTCGAGGCTCAAAACATAGCAAAAACCAACAAGCAAGAAACCACACTTTAATTAACTAAAAAAAAGAAAGCAGCAGCAGTCCAAACTCGAAATAAACGAAAATTGAAAGGTGCCCAGCACTCTTTGAACACTCTACGACGAAGTATCGACAATTCTCAACATGTGGGTCTTCGAATAATCCAAAACCGAGCTAAAATGAGTGATATATGACCAAAACAATAATACCAAAAACAAAGGCTCGAAAAAGGTACTGCAGTCAGGTTTTATTGCGAAATTACCTCGAACTACGTGCACTCAACAACTTTCGAACACCCTATAGCGAAGCCACCAAAAATACGAAGCTCCAGCACTTCAAATCGCCTAAATCAGACAAAAGATGAGAGAGTTATGAGGGTTTAAGTTTTTGGGAAATGTTGCTGAAAATCTGCATTATATAGCAGATTTTCTGCAATTTTTCCGACAACTAAAAACTCCGACGGGGTGCTCCGATCTCGTTCGGAACCCCGTGCACGCAAACGAGATATGCAACCATATCAAATTTGATATTCCGCACTCAACGGCGCAGTCGAAATTTCCATCAAAGATCATCTCGATAAAAAGTGGGTCCCACTTTCAAAGGCCATTTTAAGTCAAAACCCACATAAGGGCTCGGAAAGATATCGAAAACCTCGGGACACAAAAGAGGGGTCAATCTAGACCAAACTCGACATTCCGGAGCTAACTGCACTAACGAAATTCTCATCTGAGCGCGTTTACTCAGAATGTTGACCAAAGTCAAACTTAGGCTTAAACTTAAAGTTAAAACGCCTAATCGCACCGACTCACACTGAAACCCTCGGGAGTCAAGTCGGCCATGCTACTAGCCTAAAATGACCCTTCCGGAGCTGATGGAATCGTCAGAATTAGATTCCGATGTCATCTTCTTGAACTTCTGATAAAAAATGATCGTTCAAAGTTCATAAGCTCCAAAACACAAAAACTCGCACCAAGACCAAACGAACGACCAGGTGACCGAAATGTCAGTCCCAGCAAGTCATAAAATGACTTGGGGTCGCTACAGGAATGCTCTAAACGACACACAGAAGGCAAGACACAGAAATGACTTGGAGGGTCATTACAAACATACATGTTTCAAATCAATGATGAGCATATTATGGATTCCACAAGGGCTGGAAGCATTGCACATTCAATCAATTGTTTTTGTGTAGTACGTAAAATCCTTCTTACCTAGTTCCCTTGGTTTTTTTCTCTTGGGGTAAATTGTTGTTTCCACACTAGCACCTGCATTACATGAACGAAGATGATGTGAGGCTCATTCTCTTGGGGTAATTTGCTGTTTTGCGCCTGAAAACAGACTTGTGGAATTGATCTTGTTGTTTGGAATGAAAACTCGTGAGGCTCGTGTCTACGAGGACTGAGGAACTTGATTTCTTAAGCATTATTCAAAATCATGATGGAAAGTTTGCTGAAATTTTTAGTAATTTGGTAATGTTCTCCTTTGTTGGTTCTAAACTGCATTTTTTTCAACAAACAACTTCACTATGTTAATACATATTAGGTCTCAGAGTAAAAATATGCAATAACATATATTAGCAGGTAATCAGATTTAACTTTTTCAGATTATAACGTAACCCTCAGAGCGTCAGTAATAAGAATGGAAACAGATAAATTAGTTAAACGGTTCTAAACTGCCCAATATATGTCAACTACTAATTGGTAAGTGACTGCCATTCATTAGAAATAAAAACAACATAGAACCACCACCCAAAAATATTTATTTAAAGGATGATTAGCTGTTAATCCACAAAAGCATTCTTTATTCAAATTATTATTAATGAATTATATTCTCTTTCTTGTAGAGGCTGGCAAACAACTAGCAAAAGAAGACTTCTCCAAAAACTTTGAGAAGATTTTGGTGTAGAAGAAAACAACTTTGTAACGAGCATCGCAACAATGGCCGATCTTGTAATTGGTGCTACTGTTAAAGTTGTGCTTGATAAGCTGCTTTCTCTCACTATTGAGGAGGCTAAAATTTTAAGGATAAAGAATACGCCCCCAAGAACATAACTTCTGTTTCTAAACACTACAACAAATTTTAGAAAAAACTACACAACTTATGCTGGATAATTTAATTTCTACAGAACTTGTGCCGAGCGAGGCAAAAGTTATCTAAACTTATGCTGAGCGAATTAGGTCTCGACAGATATATTTTGGTCCCCCAAATTTTCAAAATTAAACACCAAGTCTGTTTGAAGGGCAATACGTGCAAAAAATTGATTTGAATGTGACTTCCTTTTTGGTATCCTTATTTTCTTGTGGCAGACTCATAACAGACTGTCATTCATTAAGAATAATAAAATGAAAAAAAAAGTACAAAAATAAAAAAAGACCGTCATTCATTAGAAATAAAAACAACACACAACCACCACCCAAAATTATTTATTTAAAGGATGATTAGCTGTTAATCCAAAAAAAAACATTCTTTATTCAAATTGTTCTCTTTCTTGTAGAGGCCGGCAAACAACTAGCAAAAGAATACTTATGCAAGAAATTTGAGAAGATTTTGGTGTATAGAGGAAGAAAACAAATTTGTAAAGAGCATTGCAACGATGGCCGATCTTGTAATTGGTGCTACTATTAAAGTTGTGCTTGACAAGCTGCTTTCTCTCGCTATTGAGGAGGCCAAAACTTTAAGGAACTGCAAGAAAAATCTAAGAATTCTGACAAAATATGTATCCATGATCCAAGCTCTCATTCATGATGCTGAAAAACGACAGGTTGATGATCAGGCTGTTGAACAATGGCTCAAGATGCTTGAGAGAGCTGCTGAAGATGCTGAAAACGTGTTTGATGAATTCAGATATGAATCTCTCAAAGCACAAGTGATGAACATCCGAACCAAACCAATGAAAAAGGTCAGCAACTTCTTTTCTCATACTGCTTATAAGTACAAAATGTCTCAAAAAATCAACAACATCAATGAAGAGTTGAGGGCCATCAATCAGTTAGCCAATGACCTCGGTCTCAAATCACTGATGGTTCCTTCTCAGAAAATAATTCTAATTCGAGAAACAGATTCCGTAGTTGTTGCTTCGGATGTTGTTGGTAGAGACAAAGATGTTGTTGAAATAAAAGAGAAGATTTTGAACATGAGAAAAGATGTTGTTCTGTGCACCATTCGCATAGTGGGTATGGGGGGTTTAGGGAAAACAACTGTGGCTAAGAGAATTTTCAATGACGAACACATCAAGCAGCAGTTCGAAAAGAGTGTTTGGTTGTGCCCACCTGAAATGTCAGAAACTAAGAGCTTTCTTGAACTGATCCTCGAATCACTGACAAAGAGGAAAGGTGAGGTCCAAAGCAGAGATTTAATAGTCAAGATGCTTCAAGAAGCATTGGGAGAAAAAAAGTATTTGCTTGTCCTGGATGATTTGTGGCGTGTTGACTCTATATCGTGCATGAGTTCATGGACACCTTGAAAGGAATCAATACATCCAAAGGAAACTGCATTCTCGTGACTACTCGTATCAAACAAGTGGCATCCACAATAACAGTAGATCTTCATATGTTGGGGAAATTAACAGACTATCATTGTTGGTCCATTTTCAAACAAAGAGCGTTTGTTGGTGGGGAAGTTCCGGAGGAAATACTGAGCATGAAAAACAAGATTGTTGAAATGTGTCAAGGTCTCCGTTGGCAGCAAGTGTGTTGGGAAGCCTCTTATTCAACAAGGATAAACATGACTGGCAGGCAATTCTTGATGGCAACCCCCTTGTTGCAGGGGAAGATGATCTTCGGGAAAATAGCATAAAGAAGATCCTAAAACTAAGCTATGATTATCTACCATCTCCACATCTGAAGAAATGTTTTGGTTACTTTGCAATGTTTCCAAAAGATTTTGAGTTTGAGAAGGACCAACTAATCCAACTGTCACGCCCCGAGCCTACACCCTGGGCGGGACCGGCACTCGGAGACCATCGCTGGCCCCAAGCGAACCCTTGGCCTGGCTTTCTTAACTCAGCGGAAACCTAACTCAACAAAACTTCATGCAAAGCAAAATCATAAGACAACTTAACTGATACAAATCTGGCAATAAAGGCACCTCGGTCTCAAAATAGAGTATTTACATATATACATAGGTAAGAGACTCGAAACTAGCTGACTGACTGTCTGTCTATGAAGCCTCTAAAATACTGAGATGGATGTTGGGACAGACCCCACAACATCCTAATAAAACAAAAGAAAACCTAGAACACAAAATAATTGAGTCCCTCCGGAATGCAAGGAGGCTCACCACTGACTCTGGAGTGCTCAGTTGGATCAACGACGTGCAGGATGCTGATCCGGGGTACCTGAATCTGCATCATCAAATGATGCAGGCCAACTGGCATCAGTACATGGAATGTACGAGTATGCAAGCTGGAAAACTAAGCAACAAAGGCTAGAATGAAATCTAGAAGAAAACTGAATAGCTTACCTGGCTCAACTCAACTCAACCTGACTGACTTCTTTCAATATAAGGCAATTTAAAACAAGTGTGATATAAAGAAAGACTGTTTAAAAACATGCTATAAACTCTGTGTGTATACAAGGATATATTAAGCCTGAAATGTATATAGAAATGCAATGAACTGATGTATATAAAAATATAATAATTTCTATGTGTAAAATACAATAACTGCTGTGGGAGTTTCTCTAACCGACAACCATCACATAAGAGCTATAGTGATGATACAACGATCGACCTCACGCTGCTAGAGCATCTTATACCCGGCCAAAGGTATAAGACCTGAACTGCCTAATGGATCCACTAGTCTAATCTGAAAAGGATTCATCTAAAAGGTATGATCCTTTTCTACCCATGGTGGCTAACATGGTTCTATGGGGGCTGTGGGTTCTTTGAACGCTCCCCCAATTCGGTGCTCGATACTACTCCCAAAAATGTATTGGCTCTTATGTTTTTAAAACACATTTCTTCCTGCTGATATGAGATAATTACTCAAAAACTAGCCCGAAGGCTCTTTTGGAAATCTCAGTTTCCAACCTTGTTTAAATGTAAAAACATTTCTTTAAAACTTCCTTGGGAATACATAGTTCCCTAATACCTTTGAGAAAAGAACTCAACTTTAAACTCTTTATTTATGACTTGACTTGAAACTCAATACTTATCTTTGAACTTGAGCCTTAAAATAAAGTTAAAACGCTCAATGAAGGCTCTTGGAAAACCTTAAGGACTTGCTTGCTTCTAAGCTTGACTTCACTTGACTTGGGAACTATCTTTCCTTGAAAACGGAATTATGAATTCAAGGTGTTCGATCACATGTTATGGAGGGATTCTTGAACACTTGGACGTACTTTGGAGTGTCGGAAACAACTATAAATCATAGGTATAATACTTTGGAATATGCATGAGAGAGTGAGAAAAGAAATGGGAAAACTTGACTGAGGCTTCAAATTTATGGTGACACAGGTGGGACTTACGGACGCCATCGACGGACCGTAGATGGACTTACGGTTTGTCCTGCAGGTCCGTAGACCGCATCAGAAACTTCCCCGGAATTCATTTAAGGAAAATGACTAAGTATTGACCTACGGTCCGGACTTACGGTCCGTAGGTCAGGTCACGGACCGTAGGTCGTGACCGTAGATCGATGCCCCAAAAACCCAACTTCTGTTTCGATTGACGGTTGACCAGTACGGACCGTCAATCGGTCTACGGTCCGTAGGTCACTCCCGTAGATGGGGATCGTCAACCCAGAAATTTCTGCGAATCGATGGTAAATCAACTTCAAAAGGTTCATAACTCTTAGAAGCATAATTCCCTCAACATACAATAGGTTTCAACTTAAATGCACAACTCAATCATGTCTCACAACGAACAATAACTTTAACAACAATATCAACAACAACTAACAACTTCAACACTTCAACAACAATTCCCAATCTTTTCTCAAATCATAGAATAAACTTGGTGTGTGTGAGGGAAAGGATCAACCCACACGAAGAACTCACATACCTTGATAGGGATCACCCCCGACGAAAATCCACAATGATCTCATTGATCTCCTCTTTCTCCTCTTCTTCTCTTCTTCTTCTCTTCTTCTCTTCTTCTTCTCTTCTTCTCTTCTCAAGAACCCTAACTCTTTCTCTTTAAAATGGGATAAAAGAAATGATCCAAAATCAGCCTAACACACCATGTAACCTCAAGAGAAAGAGTTTGGGAAAAGACCAAAATGCCCTTAAATTTCCGGACGGATTTCCCTTCCAACTGCCCATCTTCTAAAGGGCGTAACTCCCTCATACGAACTCGGAATCGAGCAAACTCAGTGGCGTTGAAAAGGTCATTCCACGAGCTTCGCAACTATAACTGGAAATACTCCTAACTCATCCTGAGCTAGGAGTTAAGACTACTCAAAGTTGGCTAAAAACTCACTTCTTCCCATAACCAAATTTCCAGATTCTAATTTTTTCCAAAAATGACTATTTCCAAATTTCAAGCTCCTTCAAAGCCACTTCAAATTGTCGGATGTTACACCAACTCTGGATGGCAGAAGGGTTTCTTCGTCCATGTCAAGAGACCCCCGTGATGGAAGACGTCGGGAACAAGTTTTTCCAACTCTTGTTGCAATATTCCTTGCTGCAAGATGTTAAGCTAGATGAGCTCAACAATATAACACATTGTAAGATGCATGATCTTGTGCATGATTTGGCTGGAGATATTTTGCAGTCTAAACTATTTGATCAAAAGAGTGTTGGAGGAGAAAATCTTTCTCAAGTCCGATACTTTGGATGGAACTCACCAAGTGATCAAATGGATATGATAAATGAGCCAGGACGTTTGTGCACATTGTTCTGGAAAAGAAATCTATCTGAAGATATGCTATTGAACTTTCAGTTCTTGAGGGTTTTAAATTTGTCCAGGTCAGGCATCAAGGAGTTATCAGCCGAAATCGGCAAGCTAATATACTTGAGGTATCTTGATCTCTCCAACACGCAGATCAAAGACTTGCCCAACTCCATTTGCAAGCTCTACAATTTGCAAACATTTAGAGTCAATGACTGTTCTTCACTCAGGAAGCTTCCAGAAGAAATGGCAAATATGATAAGTTTGAGACACATATATTGCAACTATCATTACAAACTCGATATGCAGATACCACTTAATATGGGACAATTGACTTGTGTTCAAACCCTAGAGTTTTTCAAGGTGGATTCAGAGAAAGGTCGTCGAATAGAAGAATTAGGTCATCTGAAAAACCTTAGAGGTGAATTGACGATCAGAGGTCTGCAATCAGTCAGAAATAAAGAAGAGGCTCGAACAGCATATTTACAGGAGAAACCAAATATCTACAAGCTGACATATTTGTGGTCCCATGATGAATCAGAAGGCAGTGAGATCAATGATGAACATGTGTTGGATGGTCTTCAACCGCATCCTAACTTGAAAACCTTAGTAGTGGAGAACTATTTGGGAACTATATTTCCTTCATGGTTCAGTAAAGAATTGCTACCGAATTTGGTCATGTTGAAATTAAGTGGTTGCAAAAGGTGCAAAGAAATTCCATCGTTTGGCCAACTGAAGTTCCTTTGGTATCTTGAGCTGAAAGGCTTCCTTGAATTGGAATGCATCGGACCTACATTTTATGGTGTTGAGATTAATGGTAATATCCAAGTGTTCCCCTCATTGAAAGAACTTGTATTGGGGGATATGCGTAGCCTTATTGAGTGGAAGGGAGATGAAGTTGGAGAAAGACTGTTTCCCACGCTTGAGAATTTGATGATTACAAAGTGTCCACTGTTAAAAAGTACTCCAACTCAATTTGAAATCCTCCGTGAATTAATAATTGAAAGAGTTGACAGTGAAATGCCATTGTTGAACTTGTGGAGCAACTTGACATCTCTTGTGAATCTTCTTGTCAGTAACGTGAAAGAGCTCACTTGTCTACCAGATGAGATGCTACGCAACAATGTTTCTCTTCAACGCCTATGTGTCTCAGATTGCGGAGAGTTTCGTGAATTGCCACAAAGCTTGTACAATCTCCATTCTCTTAAGAGATTACAAATATCCAAATGCGCCAATTTCAGTTCTTTTCCTGTTCCCTGTGGAGAGAACTACTTGACTTCCCTCCAATTGTTTCAGTTATGGCATTGTGATGGATTGATTAGTTTACCAAGTGGAATGCTAGAGAAATGCCGGTCTCTATTGATTTTGATCATCAAAAACTGTAACAACTTGGTTTCCTTCCCTTTACATGTGTGGGAAATGCCTTCACTTTCACTGTTAGATATATCAGATTGTCCCAAATTGATTAGTGTACCCGCAGGGGACCTTCACTGGCTCACTGGGTTACGGCTTTTGGAAATTGGTCCTTTCTCAGAGATGGTGGATTTTGAGGCATTCCAGTTGATATTTAATGGCATTCAGCAGCTGTTGTCCCTTCGTACATTGAAGGTGTACGGACATGGGCACTGGGATTCTCTGCCCTATCAGCTTATGCAACTCTCTGCCCTAACAGATATCTATATATTTGATTTTGGAATCGAGTCTCTTCCTCATAGATTTGACAACCTTACTTCTCTTGAAACATTATTGCTAGTGAGGTGCAAGCGGCTACGACATGTGGACTTCTCAGCTGCCATGCCCAAATTACGTCATATGGAGATCCGTGATTGTCCATTATTAGAAGCTCTGTCGGATGGGCTCGGCAAACTTGCTTCTTTGGAAAAGTTATGTTTAAGGAGCTGTGAAAAACTAGAGCATCTGCCATCCAGAGATGCCATGCGACGCCTCACTAAATTACGGAATCTGGAAATTGGAGGCTGCCCAAAGTTAGAAGAAAGTTGCACCAATCGGAGTAGCCCAAACTCCCAGTGGTCCAACATTTCCCATATTCCAAAAATTAGAGAAGCGGGAGGATAATTTAGAACTTAAGTAAGTCTCTGTTTCTCTTTCACTTTCTGATCATTCAATTTTTTAAATATTATTTTCCTCGAGTTCTAGAAAGAAGTTCTGTATGTAGTTTAACATTTTTTCTGGAATTATTTTGACATTAAGAAAATGCAAAATTATTAATCAATTGCATTTGTGCTATGCTTTCAGCATTCTGTTTGTCCACTTGAACTGAATTGTTCTTTCTTCTAATTCTTCGAGTATGGTATATCTTGATATGATTTAACCATGAGATTTATGTTTTTTTTTCCTTATAGGTTACTAGTTTCAAGGCCATGCTAGAACGTCAATGTGGTATTTGACTTGTTCTAACACAGAGATAACTCCGGAAGCATTTTATTGCTTACAAATGAGTTTTGGCATTTGGACCAGGTACATACTATATTTCTTAAATTTATCAAGTGATTTTCTATAATATGACCATCCTTATTTCATTTCACTTTTTCTAATTGCATCAATCAACTGTCTATGAAATTGTGTAAGTGTTAGAATGTAAGCTGTTAGGAAGAGACTACATTAGTTTTGGTCGATTTGGTGTTTGTATGTTTGTATCATAATTTTCCATAAGTTATGAAGCAAAAGGAATAATAAGTTATGTCGAGCACCCATTATACCGAAATAACAAAATAACTTTTTTTTCATGACACAATTTTACTGTTTAACAAGTTTGGTTATTGAGTATGCATATTTGCTCATTTGCCCAAATGAAACTATTTTTCTAGTTATGCTTTTCTCCATATAATTCTTCTTCATTTTTGTTTTGCCAGAGCTTCGATCCATAATATTGATGCGAAAACCTAAGACTTGAATGGATCAACCAGTTTGAGGGGAATCTGTCCATTAGATCGAAGGATTCTCTGTTCAGCGTAATGTCATGAGATCTGATATAGACCGATGTCTTTTTGGACCGAAATAATGTCATGAGACTTGTATAGATAGTAGAAGCTTCTCCAGTTTTTAGAGAGGTTTATATAAGTTTCTTAATAGAGAGGTTTATATAAGTTTCTTAATAGACATTCTCGTTACTTTCACTTTCATTAAAACTCTCGCGATTGAAGGACTTCAACAAAAAAAGTTACAAAAGACTGCTTTTTGTTGAATCTTATCGCAAAGAGTTCCCCATTGGCTCTAAAAATGTCCCTAGTAGCATCTGTTCATCTTTATAGATCTTGTAATGAGCTGATTCTCCATTCTCAAAGATCAAAATGTGTGCGAAAACTGACTTTTACTGGTTCCTGTGTTTCGGATTGATGGTTGAAACAACCGCATGGACCTCTTATCTAAATCGTAGACTGGAAAAGACATGTATGAGATTTGACAGCAGAGGCCTTTCTGCACAATGTTCATATGCTGTACCTGCCTTTCATACAAACAAAAGTAATATAGTTTTATGTCATTTAAGTAACTCCTACTCTCTAGAAAAAAAATTGAAACCTAGGTTTGATTAATCCAAAAATATAATTTGGTTTACAAGATCTATCTTGTGTTTGTCTTAATTGATTGATGTTCCATGCTAGTAAATATTTCTTTGCAAAATACTTCATATGCCAAATCGAAAATAAAAAAATAAAAATGTGTAAGCGGATTACAAGGTGAGAAATCAAACTCTTACCAACACGATGAGAGTTCAGATAGCCAACCAACTGAACTACAAATTCTCCTTAGGATTCTTCCTCTATGACTTGTCTAATTGAGCACGCTGGAGAATTGTGTTGTGGGAAAACATTGGAAATCATGGAGTTGTGCTTTTTGAATATTTCTCAATCAAAACTTACTTAATTGAGGGGAAAGTTACCCATTTAGTTGAGCAGACAAATATAATAATATCCACTAGTCAAATATGCAATAAAGATATACATTATTTTGCAAGTATAAGAATATACACAAACTAGAGAAAATATATAAAATATCTTTGAATTTTGACTCAAGATAGTCCTATATCTCTTATATGGACTTGTAATATACCGCATCATATCATATCCATTATATATCATATCATATATTATTATAAGTGGGAACATCACAAATGAAAAGTTGAAATACCAAAATGCCCTTGTAAAATTAAATGACTCTATTACCATTTTTAAGGTAAAAAAAATAATCTGATTTTCCCACTCATTTAATCTGTTTCGAGCTATTGAGCTTCATGATTTCCGTTATTCATTTTATTGTTTGGACCTATGGACTGTTTTTTTTTTGGCTAGCGTTTGGCTTAAAATCAAAAATGCTAAAATGTGTTTAAGTTTGTTTTCCCTTATTTAAACCTGATTGCCTTAGTTCGCATAACTTTGTATCGATTTAAATGTCTAAGATGATGTTCTGCTAATTTAATCTTTGGATGTAATTTAATTAGATTGATTGCCTGTTAAGTCATAGAAAATCTGATTTGTCCTAGTTTTTTTTTTCTTATCTGCTAGGGGAATATAAAGTTTGTTGTATTGTTAATCTTGAGTCTTGTAATCTGATTTCATGGAATGTTTAGCCTTTATTTGGGCTGGCTGTTGTTTCTAGTTTAGCCGTAAGAAAGGTTCATCTCCTCAACTTTGTGTTTAACTCAGTTCAAATAGTACTCTGTTTCTTTTCTGGATTTCTATTTCTATTTATGTGATTAGGCGTTTTTTTATTTATTCACGTTTTATTTCGGTTTCGAGTATTATATGATGAACACTCTATTGGTTTCTTTGTCTTCATTCTTGCTTCTTCTTCATTTCAACTTCTATGCTCTTGTTTAAAAGTTTGTTTGGTTTGAATATGAGTCTCTAGACTTATTCCCTTCACCGTTTAAATTTCTAATTGATCATCGTATTATTCTTTCCTTGCTGTAAGATAAAGGTATGAACCTGTGTATGTAGTTGTTTAAGTTTATTTTTGTGTGTGCATCCGTCCTCGCTTCAAATCTTTTTGCTGAGCGTCACTGTTGAACTTGTGAGGCAAATTTATACTTTGAGGGTGGTTGATCAATGTTGTATCCTCTTGCTTGAGCATTCTGTTGGAAAATAGTGTTGATCGAGTGCACTATAATTCTCGTTCATATTGTTGTCGTTTTGAGTTGTATAAAACTGTTTGTTTGCTGTAATTTTTGGCAGAATGGAGCTCCTTTTTTTTTTCTTTTTTTTAAAAGAATTTTAAATAAAATATTTGTCAGCCTGACACTCACACTCGAATCATAGTAGTTTGATGTCTATTTTTATATTGCTTTGGAATATCTTGCCGAGTCCGACATAGGAAGGAAGCAACCTCTTTCTTAAAGCTTTTATTTTCAGATCATCACAGTTAGTTGCCATTTCTTTCACTCTTTTTCCATTATTGTTTTTTTCTTAATGAACATTGTCTTTGCCTTAAAGTTCAATCTAGCAACATGTTTGTTTTCTTAACTGATGTTAAGTTACCGCCGATAATAGCTTAGCTTGAATATGTTCCCTTGGCTCCTACTTAAGCTTTTTAATTTCGTACTTGATGCATCTTTAGGTTTAAGCTGCTTAGATGTTCTTAGTCTAATTACTGTTGGTTGTATTGATTAACAAATCTTCAAAAAAAAAAAAAAAAAAAAAAGTTCATGGGTCACATTTGGTGCAAGGTTATCTCTTATTGATATTTCTTTAGCTTAATAATAATATATTGTTTCATTTTGGGCATCA